CTCTGATCTCCACACTCACACCATGGCACATGTTCCCAAATTCCCCATCATGCACACATAAGCTCAATTAGAAAAATAATTTAATTTTATCAAGAAAAATCTTGGAGCTAGAGAGATGGCTCAGCAGTTTAAGAGCACTGGTTGTTCTTGCAGAAGACCTGGGTTCGAATACCAGCACCCACATGGTGCCTAACAACCAGTTCAACCAATTGAACTCCAGTTCCAGGGGATCTGACACCCTCTCTGTCCTCCATAGGCATGGCATGATTTAGTTGCACTTACACACATGCAGGCATAACACTCATACACATAAAATAAAAAGTAAACAAAATTTTAAAAGAAAAATCTTAATCAAAATGACAGCTAGGATTGCAAAGTGTTGATACAAACAGTACAAGACAAAACAACAACAAAAGAACACATTGGTCTCAATGAGATGACTAGGGAGAGAGGTCTTTGTGAAGTGAAAGACCCAGGCATCCATCCTGCTCTTCTACAGCAGCCTTGTTTCAAATTAAGTAGGTGATAAGAATTTATCATTTGTAGAAATCTAAAAAGGAAAGGGTAGCAGAATTTGACGACAAATTTACAACTTCTATTGATGTTTTTCTGGGAAACTCTTTGAAGGCTAGTAGCACACACTGATAAAACATTATCAGGGATAGGGAGTCTGATAATGGAAGAATTTGACTCACACTGCCTGACCCTTTAGAACAAACTTGGCATTGCAGAAATCATTGTTCAATGTTAGCAGACAATGGTGTAATAGGAAGCATTCAACTCTTCAGGAATGGAACTTATTCAAGGTTCTAGATTTTAACCACCAGTTTATATTGCATATAGTAAAATGTTAAATAAAATTTCAGAGTACTAGTCACCAAATCTAGCATGCCAAGAACTCTTTGAGGTAAATAACCCTGGTTTTGTTTGTTTGTTTGTTTGTTTTATTGGTTTTGTTTTGTTTTAATTAAAATTTTTGTTAATGTGTATGAGTGTTAAGCCTGCATGTGTGTAAGTGCACCCATGTTGTAGGGCCCCTGGAAGCCAGAAGAGGGTGTCAGATCCCCTGGTACTGAAGTTATGGATGGTAATTAGCAACTATGTTGGTGCTGGGATTGGAACCTAAGTATTCTGCAAGAACAGACAGTGCTCTTAACTGCTGAGTCATCTCTCCATTCCAAAATATTAAAAAAAAAAAAAAAAAAGAAAGAAAGAAAGAAAAATTTTGTGTGTAAAAGTGTCTTTTCTGCATGTATGTAAATGCACTGTGTGCCTGCAGTGCCTGAAGAGAAGAGAGAGGTGGAGCCCTTAGAACTGTGAACTTCCATGTGGGAGCTCAGACCAGTCACAGGTCTTCTGGAAGAAAAAGAAGTGCTCTTTAACATTCCCGCCTCTGAAGACGTAACCCTAAAATCTTTTAGGGACTAAACAGGAGCGCCCAAATACTTTTGATATTTTTGGCCTTTGGAACAGAGTATGTTGATAAGAGGCCCAAGGACATTTTGACTTTTAGCCAAGAAACTGGCTACTTTTCTTTGGAGTCTTTTTACCCTAACTACCTAGCCATTTCCTGCCTTCTGTTCTTATCACACCATCCTCTGATGGGGTTATCCAAATTGCCAATAGGGAATTGGGACGGCAGACCACTCTGGCTTCTTCCATGCTGAACAGGGATGCAGGGTGAGGAGTACCCCTTCAGTGGGTCTATCTAAAAGACTCCCAAATTGTGTAACTCTTATCTGTAGGGAGAAAAGAAGGTCCCTGACTGGTGAATAGGGGATGTGAAGGAGAAGTAAACGCAAGAGTAATCAGCATTACAAGTTCTAGACAGGGAACCAGAGAAAAGTCAGAACTGGGCAAATTTCAAATGTTCATATGAGAGTCCATTGGAATTTCTTGATGAGAGCTTCCAAAAGCATCCGTTTATTGGGTTCCTCATTTTTCTTTTGTCTTTCAAGGCTGGACTCGAGAGTGATGGACTTAGGATTTGTTTTCAAGCATTTTGACATGTTAGAGCAGCTAGATCAGTGTCAGTTCCCAATCAAAGGCTTCTAGATGGGGAGGGGGCAAATTTATCCATCATTTTAGAATAGCTGGTTGTCTCTCTTAGCTACAGGTGGGCACTACAGTATTGGAGACGAAGATTTGAAGTCTTACATCTGAGCAGCACTTTCTGCTTAGAAACAAAATCATCAATGAGAAATAACTGTCTAAATAACATTTCCTATGGACTTAAGCCTAATGTCTGGGAAGTGTAATCTCTTGAACTCTTGAAGAAATATACTGATCACTTTAATCTTTGGTTATACTTTCCTTTTGGGTGTTTAAGACCATATAGTTGGCCCAAATAAACCAATTTACTTTTACTCTTCAGGTTGTTGGAGGATCTGTTCCTTAGGGTCACATGGGCTTGCGGGGAGCACCTGGTTCTTTTCTTTTACCAGTTCCATCTATGTGAAGATAAGTCAAAGGTCCTGCTCGACCATGTCTGACTTCACTTGGAAGGATGGATGAGATGTTTCCTTTGAGTTGACCCTCATCTTTGTAGACTGGACACTGGTTCAAGTCCATCTGGTGGGGTCTCCATGGCCTCCCTGAACAGGAGGACAGGTGACTCACTACAGTTACAGGACATTTTGAGAGATGTTCCATAGTCCCCTGGAACTTAGTTGACCTTGGAGGGCAAGGAGCAAAAACTGTCCTTTAAGTTCCTCTGACCAGATTAGTATAGGCCTTAAAGTATGGCTGTTAAACATCCAGGAAGGTTTGGTCCACCAGTCTGGTACTTTTAATGTGCTATGTAGGTAAAGCTTGTGCAAAAACCAAACGTTGTCAGATAAACCTTGACTACACATATAATTTGTTCTTTAAAGTAGTTGACTAAACTATGACCTTAGAAAAATTTTTTTTTGTCTTTTTGAGACAGGGTCTCACTGTAGTCCCAGCTGACCTGAACTCACTATGTAGACCACGCTGGCCTTGAACTCACAAAGATCTGCCTGCCTCTGCCTCCCAAGTGATGGGACTAAAGGTGTGTGCCACCACGCCCACCTTAGAAATTTTAAGATTATGTATATATTATTTTTGTCTCATCCTTTATATATCACAGCAAACCTACACAGACCCTCATCACTTGCCTAGGCTTTTTCATTTTTTTCTATTTTGGAAAATATCTCCATTCCCCTATCCTTTTAACATGTTTTACATTCTTATTTTCTTTTTAAATAATTATCAGACATAATAACATTAACAAATAAATTTTCCATCTGTTGTGAGAATTCTTTTCCTGGCGATACTAAGCAATGCCTATCCTCTTTAAAGGTTCTAGTGTCAAACCAATGTTTGATTAAAGTCTTCCTGGGGAACCAATGAATTTACTGACCTTTCTTACACAGATGACTGAGGGGTTGCTGAGGTGTATGTATGACCTGAGGGTATGTACACTGGAAAGCCTTTACCCACCATGGATCAAGCCTTCTCTTCCTAGCCTTCCTCAGATTATATGCTTTAGCCCTCCTCAAATCCAGGAGACCATGTGTTAGGGCCAAATTACATACAGTTGGCTGGGAAGAATGGCTGAATACTCCGGTTAGGGTCCAATGACCCTGCTTGGTCTTCCTTTAGTGAATGAGCACAGCTGTCAACCAGCCCAATTATGACGATGTTTAGCAAGCAGGCACAGCTGAAGTCATAATGATGGTATTTATTTCACACGGAAGAGGCTGCTGTACAGCATCATTTTAGTAAAAGAGGATGAAATATAAAAGGCTTTGGTGCTAGGATCCACAGATGAGGGAGAACATATGTCTTTTGTTGGTCTGTGTTACTTCACTTAGTATAACAGTTTCTAGATCCATCCATTTACCTGCAAATTTCATGATTTCATCGTTCTTTACTGCTGAATAGAACTCCATTGTGTAAATATACCACATTTTTGTTAACTGCTAGTCAGTTGAGGGGCACTTAGGTTGCTTGCATTTCTTAGCTATTGTGAAAAGAGCAGCAACAAATCTGGTTGTACAAGTGTCTCTACAATAGGATGAGTCCTTTGGGTATATGCCGAGGAGTGGTATAACCGAGTCATATGGTAGGTTCATTTTTAGTTTTTTAAGAGTTCTCCACACTGTTTTCTGTAGGGGTTGCATGAGTTTGCAATCCCACCAGCAGTAAATGAGTGTTCCCCTTTCTCCATGTCCTCGCCAGCATTTGGTATCAAGGTAGCAAAAAGTCCCATTAAAAAGGAAGGAAGGAAGGAAGGAAGGAAGGAAGGAAGGAAGGAAGGAAGGAAGGAAGGAAGAAAGGAAGGAGAGAGTACACAAAGTTGTCAGAAAAGTGATGGGGAGATATGGGAGGTATTAGAGGAAAGGGAGTGGGCATGGATTTGATCAAAATACCTTATATGCATGAATGAAATTCTCAATAAAGTTAAAAAAAAAGTGCTCTTAACTGCTAAGCCGTCTCTCCAGCCCTTATTATTATTATTTTTTTTAAAGACAGGGTCTTCCTATAGGCTCACCTGGCCTGGAACTCACTATGTAGACCAGGCTGGCCTTGAACTCACAGAGTTCTGCCTGCCCCTGCCTCTGTATACATGATGATAATATTACAGAATTTATTATTCATGTAAGTCCTGTAATTATTCTAGATGCAACAATTGCTTATCTTGGAACTAACATGAACCTAAGAGTGGTTTTTTGTTTGTTTGTTTGTTTTGTTTTTATTTTTGGGTCTTTTTTGAGACAGGATCTCCATGTAGCCCCCAGCTGGTCTGGAATTCATTATGTAGACCAGGCTGGCCTTGAACTCACAGAGATCCACCTCCCTCTGCCTCCTGAGTGCTGGGATTAAAGGTGTGCACCACCATGCCTGGCTGAACCTAAGAGTTTTTATTTTAAGCTATTTTACTATTAATATTCTAGAGAAACCTTTGAGATAAATCTAATGCTGTGTATCCTTCTAAATACCTACTTCTTACAACAGTCCTAATACTTGTTTTTCAGGTACAGCAGGTGCAGACTGTTCAGCAGGTACAACATGTCTATCCAGCTCAGGTGCAGTATGTGGAAGGAAGTGATACTGTCTATACTAATGGAGCAATGTAAGTTTGTATGCAGAAATCTTTCTAATTATCCCATTCAAAGAGAAATACTGTTCTTCCTGACATATCTTTCTATTCCTGGGATTGCTTCCTTTTTTACCATTTTTTTTATGAGCAAAGTTATTTAAATTAAACTGTTATAGCTTTGCTTGTGTTTATTTAAAAATTCATCCACATTGTTCTTCTCATTTAGCCCTACCAGAATATCTTAAATTGTAGAAACTGTGTATTCTTTAACAATTTTGCCTAGGTTGAGAAAAAGTTGTATCTCTTGTTAGTGATTTCTTTTAATAATGCTTTAATATCTATGCTTTTGAAATATTAATCTAGATCTGTACAGTATATGTATTTATCCGTCATTACTGTAAAATTTTATACTAGGTAGTTTGTTGAATTTTTCACATTTTTAGCCAGATACTCTGTATAAAAGTGCCTGCTCCTCAGTAAATCTTTTATTCCTATCTACAGCTGTCTTCCCAACTTTCTTATCTCCTTTGCATCAACAGTAGCATGAGTTTGTAAATTTACTTGGCTTTGATTGAAAATTAATGTGTTAGTATAAAAAATGGGATGAGAATTAACAGAAGTCATCAGCAATGTTCACAACTTAGGTTTTGTTAGCCAACACTTAGCTTTCTGAATGTGCCTAAAATAAGTTCAGTTCTCTCACTGGCCCTCTACTTACCTCCCTTCAGTATGGGCCTCCTTAGGGCCTCCTTAGGATCGCTCTGTCATCTTATGTCTCAATGTAACTAACATGAGAACAATGCATACTGAATAGGATCCAGATGAAGTCTTGTGTTCTTGTTATGACTAAAATCTTAGAATTTTTGTTTAATTATGTATTTATTTTATAAGAGAGATCAATATACTTAATATTCTGAACTTTCTCTTTTTTAATGGAAATAGGAGGAGAATAATTGAACTCATATTATTTATCAGGAGGATTTGAGGACAGGCATAATGCACCTGATCTCTGTCTGAAGCATAATAGCTGATACAAAGCTGAACAATGCTCTTCTTTTCTAGCATTTCTTTTGTTTGTTTATTTTTAATTGGCATACAATGTAACAGTTGCATTGTGATATTTCACCCGTATGTTTTGTTGCTATTACTCCCCACTCTTTTCCTCCTTTCCTTCCTCCTTATACCTTTCTGCTTGCATGTCCCATGTGTCTGTTCACTCGCTTCCTCAAAACCTTTTTCCTCTCTTGTTTCCTTTAGCGTTTTTATCACCTATACACCACCTCACACCTGTAATTATACACATATATAAAAATTAAAAGCTAGTGCATAGGAGAGAGACCATGTGATACTTTTTCTCTCTTAGTCTGGGTAACCTCACTTAATATAATGATTTCCAGGATCATCCATTTTCCTGAGATTTCATAATTTCACTTTTCTTTATAGCTGAATAAATCCCATTCTATATGTGTACACCATTTTCATTATCCAGTCATCTGTTAATGGCAGTCTACACTGATTCCATTTTCTTGCTATTGCCAACAGAAGAGTAATAAATATTGATATGCAGGCATCCCTGTGTTAGAATATAGAGCTCTTTGGGTATGTGCCTGGAGTAGAATAGCTGGATCATATGTCAGTTTTAGATTTCCAAGAAACCTCCCTACTGATTTCCATACTATCTATACCAGGTTACTCTGGCACCAGTAGTGAATAAAAATTCATCTTTCCTCATATCCTTGCTAGCATATTTGTTGCCATTTAAGAAAATCATAGCCATTCTCACTACTATGAGGAGAAATCTCAAGAGTAGTTCTCATGTGCTTTCCCTGATGGTTAAGGATGTTGAACACTTTAAAAAATATTTGTTGACTATTTGTGTGTTTTCTTTTGAGAAATACCTATTCAGTTCATTTATTAGCTCATGTACTGATGGATAGTTTGTGTGTGTGTGTGTGTGTGTGTGTGTGTGTGTGTGTGTGTGCGCGCGCGCACGCGCGTGTGTTTAAATTTTGGATTCTTTATATATTGTAGATATAAACCCCTTTCTGACATATAACTGACAAATATTTTCTCCCAGTCTGTAGGCTATCTATTCACTTTGCTAATAATTTCCTTTGCTTCCCAGAATCATTTTAATTTCATGTAGTTTCATTAATCAATTCCTAGGGTTATTTCCTGTGCTATTGGAGTCTTATTCAGATACTATTTATCAGTTCTGGGGGTTATTCCCTATATTGTTGGAGACTTGTTCAGAAAGTTTTTGTCTGTTTCTATAAAGTATTTTCCCATGTTTTCTTCTAGAAGGTTCAGCATTTCCTATTCTATCAATTAACATCTTTGATCCAGTTTCTATTGGTTTTTGGAATGTGCCACCATGCCTGACACAGTTTTAGAATTTTCATTATACTCCCAAACTATTGCTAGCATTTATACCAAATGAAATTATGCCTACAGTTGGAGCTTATTCTCTCAGAGACATTAAATGGCTTTTTAGATGCTGCTACACATCACCTAGTTGTCAGTTGTCATTTATCTGTACCTGTGACAGCTAGTGATTGTCAGCTGCAGAGAATCAGAGAACAAGAGTTTGTATCTTTCATGTCTGTATGGTAGAAGATAGGTAGCGAGGGAAAGATGGAGTGTTAAAAGAGGTTATAACTGTACAGTGTCTGTCATAGTCATTTGTCATTCTGTCCTAGTCCAAGGTAGAATAGAGGGATTAGCTCTGTTATTTACATGTATGTGATTTTGACCTTAAAATGACAATATTAACTTCTCAGAAGTGCTTTGTTGGCCAACTGAGAAATTGGTATTGGCATTATTATTGCTGTTAAATTTTGTACTTTATTTGTGTACATTTTTTCTGTCCTTCTAAATTCTATGTATTGTATTATGAATTTTTACTATTTTCACAAGCATATTTACATTTATTTATTTATGTTTTTGTTAGTGTGTATGTATGTGGGCTCGTGTATACCATGGTGTGTGTGTGTGGAGGTCAGAAGACAATTTGTGGGAGTCGTTTCTCTCCTTCTACCATGTGTGTCTCAGGATTTGAATCCAGGCCACCAGGCTTGGCAACCTTCCCTGTCTTGTACATTTTTAACTACTTCATTTTATAAATGTGAGCTGACTGAATTTATTTCCTCATAAAACCTTTGAGAAATAGCATTTCTAATGTTGATTTTTTTTAATTATAGCAATCATCTAAGTGCAGAAATGATTCAGAAGAAACTATCTAGTGTCAGTATGTGTTTCCTGTGGCCCACTAACTCAGTTGATTAGCTCATGACTAACGAGGTCTAGGTAATGAGTTCGTTTGTTACAAAGTTTAATTAGCTTTGTTCTGGACTGTGTGGGCTCAGACTGCTTCTTCAACTCCAAGGGTCATGTCACAAATGTGCACTCCTGGTTAAGAGGGAGAAGATACATTTTTAAATGCTCTCATTGCTATCCATACACATTTTATATTTTTATTTTATGTGTATGAGTGTATTGCCTGCATGTGTATAAGTGCACCCATGTCGTGCAGTGCCCATGGAGGTCAGACGAGGGAGTTGGATCCCCTGAAACTGGAGTTACAGATGGTTGTTAGCCTCCATGTGGCTGCTGGGAATTGAACCCAGGTCCTCTGCCAGAGCAGACAGTGCTCTTAAAGGCTGAGCCATCTCTCTAGTCCTATTTTGAATAAGGGCTCTGAAGCATTACCTTCATACCCAGTAAAGAATATTATGTTGCTATGAATTACATTCAAAATTGTAGTGAGTAGATAACTATGAACATGTTTTCTCAAACATGATCAAAATAATTTCTTTTTCCAGTGCAAGCTATTCTTATCTTTCTGTAATTTTGAAATTCTTCCATTTGACTGCATATGGTTTCTATATCAAATGCTTATTTTAGGGTGCTTGTAATTTCTCTTTTTATTTAATAGACTTCCATGTGTGTTAGGAAAGATGGCCCCTCTTCTGTTATATCACACAGAATTAATAGGCAGCTAGTATTTGATCTCTGACTTAGATCTCAGTCAGAGTCCCACTTCTGTGTAATAATAACCACATTTTACTAATGACACCCCCATGGGATACTCTGGTCTGTTTTGTGAACTTTCAAGCACCCAGTACAAGACACTACAACCTTCACATGCTTACTAAGTGCTGGTTTATGATGCCCTTGGCACCAACCTTCGCATGTCAGGCGGGTATAATATACAGGGTCTTACTCAAGAGGTGATGACAGCACTCACAGATGCCTGTCATCACTAAAAGAATGGGTAATGATCATAATTTGCTGATAGTAAAGTGTTTACCTGGTTCTCACTGTGAGCATTGACAATTACTGCCAGTATAACAGGCTTAGCAATGTGGGCTAGTTAAGTAGGCATGTATTTCAGCTGAACAACTGAGACTGCTTTAGAGTACTGTGTGTCAAGTATTGGCACAGAATAGCTTTTTACTCAAGGGAAAAGGTAGCATAATTCATTCCTCTCTTGTTTATTTTATTCTTGCTTCTGCAGGAATTCAATTTGCAATATTTGTTTCTTTGTCCCAAAACCTAGATCATTTTATCTCTTCTAAAAATTCTTAAAATTTGTAATTTCTGGTAATAGAGATTACTATGGTTAAACCAGCTGGGGAATATCATTTACGATTGGAGTCTCTTGTTATAATAGAAAATAAGATTTTTAAAATAATTTTCCTGTTTCTTCCATTCCTCTTTTCGTTCATACCCTCCCCCCATTCCTGTATCATGCTAGTCTGAGTGGAAACAATGCTATCATGCTATATTTTGCAAAATTAAGAAGTCTTTGTGTTAAAACTAATTTTCTATGTAAACTACTATCTGAGATTGTGCACTATTTAGAGATGATCAGTTTTTAAAAATACAAGCATGTCTTTTATTGTGAACTATTGTGGTAAGGGCTGACCAGTCTTCTCATACTTTTCCTGTTCTTTAAAAAAATGTATTAAGCTTCTGTACATTTCACACAACAGTTCTTAATCAAATTTAGATTCCCCCTCCCCATACATATC